TGTGCACAAGGGCTTTTTAAAAACGGTATTTTATTTTACTTGTTTTTTAAAATATATTTTTATTGATTTCAGAGAGGAAGGGAGAGGGAGATAGAAACATTAATGATGAGAGAGAATCATTGATCAGTTGCCTCCTGCATGCCCCTCCCCCCCACCCCCACTGGGGATGGAGTTGAAACCCTGGGCATGTGCCTTTACCAGGAATAGAACCACCACCTCCTGGTTAATAGGTCAATGCTCAACCACTGAGCCACACCTGCCAGGCCAGGGTATCTAATTTTAAATTTTCAGTTGCTTGTTGGGCCTTTGCTACACATCATCAGCCAGATGTGCTACATGCATGGCATGGAATTAGTGGAACTTTTGGAGTGAAAGCTTAGTCAGTGACCAGGAAAAAGGAGAGCCACAGAGGACGCAAAAGCAGGTGGGAGATTCAGAAATCAGCGAATCTCAGAGATTCAGAGATCAGCAGAATCTAAACTCCTTAAGAATTCCTGAGGTTTTTGGTAGGGATGCTGGGAATCCTACTTTCATAAGGAGATACCTGGCTGGGTCCTTTTAATTAAACCTTAAGAGGCAAGGTGCTCTCAGCAAGTTGAACGAGGTAGGAGATATTCAAGAGGCTGACATTTGGGGCACCTATATCACTCATTTTCCAATGGAGTCTCTTCGCCCTTTGATAAAACTCCTCCCATGGCCTAGAAAACCCTGAGTGGTCTGGTCCTTCCCAGCTTTTCTGACTCATCTCAGCATGACCTTCTTTGCTCCAATCACAATGCCCTTCTCATTGGTCCTTTTGAAGGTCAGGCTAAATCCTCAGCCCTCCACCCCCACCCCCCAAGGACCTGGAATGACCAAAAGTTCACAGCCAGCTCCCTCTCACTACTGAGGCCTGGCTCAAACCTCACCTCCTCAGAGGTTTTCCCTGACCACCCAATTCCTACCACAATACTCTGCTTTATGTTTTTTATAGCACTAATCAGTAGGTCAAAGTCTCTTGGCTATTGATTTGTTTAATGGCTTTTCCATCTTCTCTTGAAGGTAATCTCTGTGCCATGCAAACCAGAACCTGGTCTACATCTCTTCTTACTCTGCAGCCCTAGAGCCCAGCATGGCACTTGGCCTAGCACACAGGTGCTCCAGGAATATTTGCTCATGCCCTACATTCACTGAGCAAATATTTGAGCACCTACTGTGTGTGAGATCCTGTGTACAAAGTTGGGCACAACAGACCCAGCCCCAGCCCTCCAGGGCCCTCTGGGCTAGTGGAGGGTACAGCCAAGCTAGCAGTCTGCTGAGATACAGGGGATGAGTGCTGTCACTGGAGAGGCACAAGGTGCAGTGTGGGCTCCTAGTCCAGATTGGGGAGGAGGGTTGTATCAATGAAGGCCTCTGGAGAAAAGGAAAGCCAAGATATGAGGCTAAATAAGAGTTGACTGAGGGGAAGGAGGAGAGAAGGTGATGCCTATTCCAGGCAGAGAGAACAGAATGTGCAGAGGCTTGGTGGGAAGAGAGCCCAGACATTAGAGAAATTGAAAGTAGTTCAACCTGGCTAGATCCTGGCAGCAAGTGGTGAGGGATGATGCTGAAAACACAGGCAGAGCCAGTCTGTGCAGGACCTTATAGCCTGAGCTAAGGAGTTGAGGAAGAGCACTGGGGAGCCATAAAAGGGGTTTGTGTGAGCAGGGGAGTGGCACCATCGGATTTGTAAACATTAGACAGTTTATTGTGTTATGGGTAGTGGGTTGGAAGGCAGGAAGACAGTGAAGAAACCATGGTAAGAAATGTGGAGGTGGAGAGAAGTACACAGGTTCCAGCAGGATTTGGTAGCTAGAATCAAGAGGGTTTAGTGATTAATTAGTTTTGTGTTTTTTTTTTGGGGGGGGGTTGTTGGGGATAATACCCAGATTTCTAGCTTAAACAAGTGGTTGATAATGCTACTTACTAAACAGGGAAACCCAGATATAGGTGTAGGTGACAAAATTCTCAGTGGGACAGGTTGAGTTTCAGGAGACTACAGGGTATTCAGGTCATCATTGGATTATTCTAGGAGTTTCTCAAGGATAAAAGCCTGTCTAATTTATCTGTATGGTCCCAATCCCACGATGCCCTCACACATAGAACACTAAATGTGCTGAATAAACAGTGAACAGAACTAGCCTTAATAACCGGCTGGAAAACAGGTTTCAGGTAAACCCACAGGAAAGTCTCAGTCAGGATGGGCTATGTTAGGCTGCTCTAATAAACAACCCCAATCTCAGTAGTTTGGAGCAGCAAAGACTTATTTCTCACTCACTCTCTATGTCCATCTTGAATCAATGAAGACTTTGCTCCAGTTGGCTCTCACTCAGAGCCACAGGTTGATGGAGCCTCCACCTCCTGGAACATCACTGGTCACTTTGAAGCAAGGGAACTTGACAATTGTGTTTGGGTCCTTGAAGGCTTCTGCTTGGGGGGCACTTCCCCTCACACTTCATTGGCCAAAGCATGTCATAGGGCCACACCTCACTTCAAGAGGGCAGGGAAGTGCAAAGCTATCACATACCAGGAAGGTGAAGAACTGGACATGTTGGTGACCAGTATTAATGTGCATCAAGAATCTTAGGTTGTAGTCCTGGGTCCACTGTACAAATTTGGATAAGTCATTTCTCCTCTCTGAGCCTCAGTTTTCCCTGTCTGTAAAATGGGACAATAATAATTCCCTCACAGGGCTGCTATGAGGGTCAAACAAGAGGTCATCAATGAAAACACTTTGTTTAGATGGGAAAGGGCACTTAAGGAGTGGGAAGCGGTGATATTTCTGGGACAACAGAGAGGCACACTCAAACGTGGGTATGCTGGAGTGACTATGACTACAGTCTAAGCAGATTCTGAGTATGCTGAGTTCAGACCTGGGGGGCTGTGAGATGGATAGAGCATTCTTGTCCAACTCCCTGAATTCCTAAGCATTTTCATTCCTCCATTCCTCATCTCTCCAGTGACACCGTGGGTCTCAGAGAACTCCCTAACAAATGGAGACAAAGCCATTACTGCCAAGAGCTTGGAGCTCATGTCTGCCTCCCTCTTTGGCTGAGAGCCAGGACCCAGATTTAGAGCCTGTGGGAGGCAAAATAATGGCCCCTCCAAGATGTTCACACCCTAAGCCCCAGCGCTCCTGAATATGTTACTTTATGTGGCTAAAGGGATTATGCAGATGTGATTAAATTAAGGGCCTTGAGATGGGAGATTATCCTGGATTATCCAGGTGGGTCTAACAATCATAAGAAGCTTTAGACTGGAAGAGGGAGGCAGAAGAGTCAGAAGAAGAGAGTGTGATCGTGGAAGCAGCAGTCAGAGTGAGGTAATTGCTGGCTGGAAGGAGCACATGAGCAAGCATGGGATGCAGGCAGCCTCTAGAACGCGGTTCTCAACCTGTGGGTCTCGATCCCTTTGAGGGTCAAACGACCCTTTCACAGGGGTCGCCTAAGACCATCGGAAAACACATATATAATTACATATTGTTTTTGTGATGAATCACTATGCTTTAATTATGTTCAATTTGTAACAATGAAAATACATCCTGCATATCAGATATTTACATTAGGATTCATAACAGTAGCAAAATTACAGTTATGAAGTAGCAACGAAAATACTTTTATGGTTGGGGGTCACCACAACATGAGGTACTGTATTAAAGGGTCGAGGCATGAGGAAGGTTGAGAACCACTGCTCTAGAAACTGGAAAAGGTAAGGAAACGAATTCTCCCCTAGAGCTTCCAGAAAGAACACCACTCTTCAGACACCTTGAACTTAGTCCATTTCAGACTAGTGACCTCAAGAACTGTAAGATAATCGATTTGTGTTGTTTTTAGCCACTAAGTTTGTGGTCATTTGGTACAGCAGCTGTAGGAAACTAATGCAGAGCCTGCTGGCTGGACCTGTAGGGCAGAGGCTTGACGCCAGACAGCTGCTACTAGCAAGACCCCAGGGCTAAGAGAGGCTCTGGCAGGATCTGCCACTTCTCTATGCCCCTAGGACTGCAGGTGAGGTGCCCCCAAAGCAGCCTCTGCAAAAGCCCCAATGCTGCTTTGCTCTACCTTATCTGCCTTCCTGCCCCCTCTCAATTTTTTCTGTTCTAATGACTCCACCACCTTGCTATGTGACCTTGAGCAGACCCTTCCTTTTGCAGGACCTAGATTTCTCTATTTGTAAATGCAAAACAGGGATGGACTAGGAGACCCTCTAGAGGCCTTCCAGGCCTGATACTGAGTCAGCATTTCCAGGATGTGATGGGCCTGCAGAGAGCTCTCGGATGATGCTCTTGAACCGCCCTCCATCCCCAAGCCTCCAAAAACTCTTTACCAGTCTTTCCTGCTGCCACAAACAATGCACTTGTGTCCAAACACTGACCTCGGTTAAAAGACAGGGGGGGACAATGCTTTATTGACTTGGCACCTATGAATGGATGGTTACAGACCCCCACAGTTCTTTGCTATTGCAAAGTGGAGGCTCTGTGGTGGGGGCAGCATAAATCACAGATGCTGGTTCTAGCTGCAGGGAGGGGCCACTGTCCCTGCTTTGGCCCCTCCAGTCCCCTTATCCAGTCAAGCACCATCTGAGTCTGGGCCCTCATGGAACAAGCCAGGGCAACGACCCAGGTTCTTCTACAGTCCCAGGCAGGCTAAGGTAAGGGCTGCAGGCTTCTCCTGTCTTCCCTCTTCTTGGGGATCCCAAGATGGGTCGGGGGAAGGGAGAGACCCCATTTTCTCCTGAATCACCTGGATTGGGTTCCAGGAAGGTCGGATTAGGGGTGCTGTACCTGGAGCCCTACCAAAGAGAGAGTTAGAAGTCATTCCCTTTCCCCAATTTTCTGTTTTGGCTGAGCAGAAAGTGGGAGGTCTTGTTGAATTGGGTCCACAACAGTTGATGGGATAAAGCCAGGCCGTGCTATGCAGGACCACACCATTTGGGCAGGCTCTCTCCCAGACAAGGGGAGGGAAGGGCTGAGTGAACTGCAGTTGTCACAGGAGGAAGGCTTCCTGGAGGAAGAGGGGCAGGCCATAGTAGGTTCCTAGAAGAGGTGGTCTGCAGGTCACAACAGCCGGCACAGAACACTGGCATCCTCGCTGTGGTCACAGTTGT